GTGGTATATACACAGCAACTCCAGGCAAGTGTGAGGGGGACGGATGTGGCAGCACAGAAGAACAGGTGGTTGTGTATAATACGTCCATTGTACACAACTGGTTAATTATACGGAATGTCTTTTTTTTTATGCTACTTTTTATTGTTCAGCTCTGTGTACCATTCCAGCTGAACCCACGCTCAGTGACCTCTCCTCTTCAAATCTCAGGACAGCTCAGGAGACACACGTGTTTAAAGTGGACCTATCACCAACATTACTACGTCTGCATGGATAAATTCCTGACATGTCTCAATATATAGCAAAAGAGAATGACTGAGGAAGCATTTCCTCATTCTCCCCTCCCCCAGTGATCAGTCTGCTGCAGGCAGGAGGAAGCATTTCCTCATTCTCCCCTCCCCCAGTGATCAGTCTGCTGCAGGCAGAAGGAAGCATTTCCACAGTCTCCCCTCCCCCCTAGTGATCAGACTGCGACATTGTAACTTAGTAGCAAGTCACAAGGTGAGATTTTGCATCAGGGTCACCGTTTTAGAAAGTACTGAATCCAGAGACAGCCGGGCAATTAGCATTTTCCGGTCAGCAATGTCAGGAACCATTTCATCCTAGGCTCCCTTCACACTACGAACATCTGGAAACTGGAACGCCCGGCGGCTTATTTCTCGACCCGGCTGCAGCTTATTCGCACGGTCGTCTTTTAATCAAAGCCGCGAGCGGATGAGAAGCGCGTCGTTAGAAGTGAAACATTAAGCCAGACTAATTGATTTAAAATGGGTTTTATAGATTTTTTGCTCCAGTCGCTTATAAAAATCATCGCGGCCGCTGCCGTTTAATTTCAATATAGGCTTTTCCGTGGCTGGCGCTGACGGGCCCGCGGAAAGCTCATCACTCTCCATCCTGATTAGGTGTGATTTACTTTAGGTGGAGCCGTCTTTTACTTACCCGCCTCCATTCGTCTTCGGGGTAATTTCTCCGGGGAGGAAGAACGATGGGCCGCCCGCCGTCGCTCCATCATCCGGGTTTTCAGGGCAACTGAAGGAGCTCGGTTCCAGTCAGCTGGCAGCGGCGATGATGAGGCCGTCATCTCCCCGCGGTGATCAGAAGGAAGATGTATTTGTATATTTATCTTCAGCAATTGTTTGAAGGGGAGATCGCTCACGCTCATCTCATTTGCCGCTAATGAAGTCAAAATACAAGCGGGGGGGATTTATGGGACGGGGGATTGCGCCGGGGGAATGGACGCGGGATATCGTCTCGGATGGATTCCCTGTGAAAACACAGAGAGGCGGAGGAGGGGGGAGGGGGGGACGAGGTGGACGGAGCCGTGACCGGGAAGAAACGGAATTCCACGTTGCCGATACTCACCAAATTACACCCAAAATATCGGCAAATTATTTCCCCGCATCCTGGTAGGAGGAGCGGCGGGCGTGCCGAGGTCGGAATGCTGGACTGCTATGGACATATGAGGGGGCATTCCTTATCCTTTCCATGCCCGGAGGTCACTGATGACTGGATGCCCACCCCAAATTTGGCAGCCCCAAAATACATCAGTTACTTCAAATCTATGACCCCTTACCCCACCCTTCCCAATCTATGACCCCTTACCCCACCCTTCCCAATCCATGACCCCTTACCCCACCCAATCTATGACCCCTTACCTCACCCTTCCCAATATATGACCCCTTACCTCACCCTTCCCAATCCATGACCCCTTACCTCACCCTTCCCAATCTATGACACCTTACCTCACCCGTCCCAATCTATGACCCCTTAGCTCACCCTTCCCAATCTATGACCTCTTACCCCACCCTTCCCAATCTATGACCCCTTACCTCACCCTTCCCAATCTATGACCTCTTACCCCACCCTTCCCAATCTATGACCCCTTACCCCACCCTTCCCAATCTATGACCCCTTACCCCACCCTTCACAAATCTATGACCACCTAAGTAACTGTTACATTTTTAAAGGACTAATACATATTGTTTTAATAAGGAACCCCCAAAAATCTGAGAATTATGCACCACACCGAGTGGGTGGGGGGATGTTGAATGAAATGTCCAGATACAAACCTATTCCAACAGGTTATGAAGACCAGCTGACGGGCTCTGTGGTCCAACACTGGTCCAGTTTGCACACCATTAACTTTGTATTCCTAATCCAGTCGGGTATACATCTTGTCCATCCAACCCCGATGAAGACGGCGTTCTCTGACTCCGAAATGTGTTGGCTCTGTGACAAAGTCATTTTAGTGGATCCTGTGTTGGAATGAATATCTATCTGGATGTTTATGCCCTGGTGTAGCACTTTAATCTCTGATTTAGTTACAAACTGAGGATACTGTGCAAATCTGTGCCCATTATGAGGGGTTCCCACCATCCCTGTGCTGAGTTCCCGGGTCTGTCCACCTGCTGTGCCCATTATGGGGGGCTCCCACCATCCCTGTGCTGCGTTCCCGGGTCTGTACACCTGCTGTGCCCATTCGGAGGGGCCCCCACCATCCCTGTGCAGAGTTCCCGGGTCTGTACACCTGCTGTGCCCATTCGGAGGGGCCCCCACCATCCCTGTGCAGAGTTCCCGGGTCTGTACACCCGCTGTGCCCATTATGAGGAGCCCCCACCATCCCTGTGCAGAGTTCCCGGGTCTGTACACCAGATGTGCCCATTATGAGGAGCTCCCACCATCCCTGTGCTGAGTTCCTGGGTCTGTACACCCGCTGTGCCCATTATGAGGGGCTCCCCCCATCCCTGTGCTGAGTTCCTGGGTCTGTACACCCGCTGTGCCCATTATGAGGGGCTCCCCCCATCCCTGTGCTGAGTTCCTGGGTCTGTACACCCGCTGTGCCCATTATGAGGGGCTCCCCCCATCCCTGTGCTGAGTTCCTGGGTCTGTACACCCGCTGTGCCCATTATGAGGGGCTCCCACCATCCCTGTGCTGAGTTCCCGGGTATGTACACCCACTGTGCCCATTCGGAGGGGCCCCCACCATCCCTGTGCTGAGTTCCTGGGTCTGTACACCCGCTGTGCCCATTATGAGGAGCTCCTACCATCCCTGTGCTGAGTTCCTGGGTCTGTACACCCGCTGTGCCCATTATGAGGAGCTCCTACCATCCCTGTGCTGAGTTCCTGGGTCTGTACACCCGCTGTGCCCATTATGAGGAGCTCCTACCATCCCTGTGCTGAGTTCCTGGGTCTGTACACCCGCTGTGCCCATTATGAGGAGCTCCTACCATCCCTGTGCTGAGTTCCTGGGTCTGTACACCCGCTGTGCCCATTATGAGGAGCTCCTACCATCCCTGTGCTGAGTTCCTGGGTCTGTACACCCGCTGTGCCCATTATGAGGAGCTCCTACCATCCCTGTGCTGAGTTCCTGGGTCTGTACACCCGCTGTGCCCATTATGAGGAGCTCCTACCATCCCTGTGCTGAGTTCCTGGGTCTGTACACCCGCTGTGCCCATTATGAGGAGCTCCTACCATCCCTGTGCTGAGTTCCTGGGTCTGTACACCCGCTGTGCCCATTATGAGGAGCTCCTACCATCCCTGTGCTGAGTTCCTGGGTCTGTACACCCGCTGTGCCCATTATGAGGAGCTCCTACCATCCCTGTGCTGAGTTCCTGGGTCTGTACACCCGCTGTGCCCATTATGAGGAGCTCCTACCATCCCTGTGCTGAGTTCCTGGGTCTGTACACCCGCTGTGCCCATTATGAGGAGCTCCTACCATCCCTGTGCTGAGTTCCTGGGTCTGTACACCCGCTGTGCCCATTATGAGGAGCTCCTACCATCCCTGTGCTGAGTTCCTGGGTCTGTACACCCGCTGTGCCCATTATGAGGAGCTCCTACCATCCCTGTGCTGAGTTCCTGGGTCTGTACACCCGCTGTGCCCATTATGAGGAGCTCCTACCATCCCTGTGCTGAGTTCCTGGGTCTGTACACCCGCTGTGCCCATTATGAGGAGCTCCTACCATCCCTGTGCTGAGTTCCTGGGTCTGTACACCCGCTGTGCCCATTATGAGGAGCTCCTACCATCCCTGTGCTGAGTTCCTGGGTCTGTACACCCGCTGTGCCCATTATGAGGAGCTCCTACCATCCCTGTGCTGAGTTCCTGGGTCTGTACACCCGCTGTGCCCATTATGAGGAGCTCCTACCATCCCTGTGCTGAGTTCCTGGGTCTGTACACCCGCTGTGCCCATTATGAGGAGCTCCTACCATCCCTGTGCTGAGTTCCTGGGTCTGTACACCCGCTGTGCCCATTATGAGGAGCTCCTACCATCCCTGTGCTGAGTTCCTGGGTCTGTACACCCGCTGTGCCCATTATGAGGAGCTCCTACCATCCCTGTGCTGAGTTCCTGGGTCTGTACACCCGCTGTGCCCATTATGAGGAGCTCCTACCATCCCTGTGCTGAGTTCCTGGGTCTGTACACCCGCTGTGCCCATTATGAGGAGCTCCTACCATCCCTGTGCTGAGTTCCTGGGTCTGTACACCCGCTGTGCCCATTATGAGGAGCTCCTACCATCCCTGTGCTGAGTTCCCGGGTCTGTACACCCGCTGTGCCTATTACAAGGGGTGATGCGTCATTGTAACACTTTAAGGTATTGATGATCTCTCAGGAAGGGGCGGAGCTCTTCTGTTGCTGTATATTGTGACACATCAGAGATTGATATTTGCAGATTTGGAACACTACTTCAGCCATGAACCGGCAGTATGGCGGGGGTCCCCGCAGGGACTGTAACAGACGCACCCTAACCCTAAGTATTGTCACAATGTACACCTAGTCTGACTTTTCAAGCAAGTCAGTGAAAACTATTCAACAAGTCAGACAGGATATCGCTATACAAGTTCCCGGAACACACGGGAACCCCTCCGTCCTTCTCATGTGGAGGATTCTCACTACCAGCAAATCAAAGCACAGATATTCCACAGAGGTTTGCGGTAATGTGAAATTATTGCGCTATAAGCACCACAATACATATTGGGGCTGCACCAATCCCTGACGTCTGCGACTTACATGTGTTCTTCATACATGTGTTCGTGGAGGAGCAGAGCTCCGTCATGTACACGGCACTCTGCTGTCCGTCTTCCGAAGGAACCGTCAGTACAGATATCTGGAAGACAAAGTCATGTGACTATAAAACTACAAACGTGGATATAATATAAGTGTTGCCATCGCTCGATTGCTTTCAGTGCAGCCGCTTTCAGATAAGGACTCAGACCGGACCAGAAGAACTTCTTTAAACCAGAGGCCTGTATGCAAGAACCAACGAGATGCCCATACTCCATAAGAGGCACTTACACCTGTTTGTAGAGCAATCAATGTTACCGAATGTATTAAAAAAGACAACCCAACGCATTTGAAGGATCTGTGTCCCCTTCATCAGAGCTACAAGAGTAAAATCATAACACGTAGCCCTAACGAAGAGGAGCTCTCAATATGACTGTAAACAGGACATGCAATAAAAACATTTCATTAAAGGAGAACTATAAGGTGAGTGAAAATCACTGATCCTCATAGTTCGAGCCGACGTGTGACAATGAGACTGTCACAGGTCGGCTCTATAGATTGGGAAGTGAGGGAACACATACCGGCATTCGCTCACTTCTTCATCATGTCCCTGCAGAGAGCCGTGACTGTCACTCACGGCTCCCTGCAGGGATCCCCCCCCCCCTCTTCCCCTGTCCGATCCTCCAGCGCTGACTGGCAGAACGGATGAGGAAGGGGGCAGGTACAGCTGGTTCTACTGGCTGGCTACAAGCTGTAGCTCCCTATATACTGAGCTTAGGGTGACGGGAGGACGCTTGTTTGTGTCCTCCCGTTACCCTGAGGAGAACTACGGGGAAAAACACTGACCCCCTAGTTCTCCTTTAAAGGTGTGAGGGGTGAAAGACATCCAGTTGGAGAAGTCTTGCCATGGAGTTCTAACAAAGCGATTTTGCTTTTCCATAATATAAAGGTAAAATGTTTGCTGAGTGTGTGTTCAGTTTTTTATGAGGAGGTGATAAACATAAACACAAAATTAATTGATGTTATTCTCTAGAGTCTCTCCCATCCTCTGGAACTCTTTACCGCAACCTGTCCGACTATCTCCCATCCCACTCTGGCAGCCTTTAGGCGATCCCTTAAGACTCGTCTCTTCAGGGAAGCCGATCCCACCTCAACCTAACCGCTCAACCATCACCTTCTCAAACAATTCATCCCCACACAGCTCCCTCCTCATGTATCACTGGCCCCTCCCTCTTAGATTGTAAGCCCTCAGGGGCGGGGCCCTCCTTACCATCTTGTCTTGAATTGTATTGTGATATTTTCCTTATATTGTACAGCGCTGCACAAAATGTTGGCGCTATATAAATACTATGTAATAATAATAATAGTGTTATAAAGATGAATATTCATGTGATGATTTATTCCAGAAGAAGAACTTTCTCCAATGCTTTAGGACAGTTTCACATGATTGTGTGACAGTTTGTTCTGCGTTACTTTTATCTCACACTCGGTGGTGGTCATAGGTCTGAATACATTTATAAGAGTTACATTGCTCTCATTTAGATAATAATAAAAATAACGTTTCCTTTCAGACACATTCGGCCGTCGTACCTCTTGGTCGGACTCGGATTTCAGCACAGAACTGTCAGTGATGAGCACAGCGCGAGAGATTTGCCTGCAGAGTACGAGAATGAAAAAGAAAAATCAGTGGCATGAAATGTAAAACAATTTACAGCTCAGTTTTGGGCAACAAAAAAAGATGGTAAGGAACCGGAGGGAGGGCAGAGAAGGGAAACTAAACGGATAAGAGGCCATGGAGGAACTCCGCACCCAGGAGAGATTTTATACTCTCCAAAGAGGTGATTACGGGGGGAGATGATGCAAACTGTTGGCGCTATATAAATCCTGTATAATAATAATAATAATAATAATAATACAGTGAACTTGCTAAGTTGTTCCCTTTCATGTGACGAGGGGGCATTGCTTTGAGGTCTATAAAAATAAAATAATTGGATTTTTGTATCTACTGTAAAATCTTTTTCTCTGAGGTTCATTGAAGGGCACAGCGAAGATCTAACCAATGGGTTATACTGCCACCTGTGGGAATAGGATGCTAGGCACAAAAAAACAGCCAAGGGGTCGGAACTTGCTGGTGGCCAACCCCCACCCCACGTGCTAACACAGCCCCAGTAAGTAGCAAGCAGTCAATAATAAAGGGCAACAGCCAAAGCAGGTATGAGTGCTGTGTCCTTCAATGAACGCAGAGAAAAGGATTTTATTTGCGAGTACAAGAGTCTCATTTTCTCTTCCCTTCATTGAAGGACGCTGCGAAGATCGGAAGATCTAACCACTGGGATGTCAACAAGCAGTGACCCAAGAAAGGGCGGGCAAGAGGAAACCCCCAGGATGCGGAAGTAAACCCAAATCACACTGCCGCCTGGAGGACCTTACTCCCAAAACTAGCAACCGAAGATGCAACAACATCAACTCTATAAAACTCGATAAAAGTGGCCGCTTTACAAACTTTGATGTCTTCAGTCCTAGACGCTAGGCAATAAAACATGGGCTGTGTTAGCACATGGGGGGAGAGGGGTTTGGCCACCAGCAGGGGCCTCTCTTAGGCTGTTTTTTTTGTTCCTAGCATCCTACACCTGCAGATGGCAGTATAACCCAGTGGTTAGATCTTCTGATCTTTGCTGTGTCCTTCACAGAACGGAGGGAAGAAAAAAAAAATCACATAGCTATACATCCAGCTAAGCTGCAGGTACATTCCTTCTGTGTGAATGAACCAGCTGCTTCGAGAATGGAGCAAATCAAATGTTCTTCGGATATTATATCTTCTGGTCAAATCCTATGGGAGTAGTAAAAAAGGTCCAACCATTAGCAAATAAATCTAACGTATATTGCATATACAGGGATCCCAATAGTTGCACCAACTCACAAAATTCCCTTCAGCGTTCTATTGAATAGATATATTGTAGCTCTTGGTATTAACCCCTTCGTGACGGGAGACGTACACCGTACGTCCCGCCACAAAGTGCCTACATGTCTGGCCCCGTACACCGTACGTCCCGCCACAAAGTGCCTACATGTCTGGCCCCGTACACTGTACGTGACAAGTTATATCAGGCTCTGTAATGCCGGTAACCGCTGATTTTCAGCGGTTGCCATTCATTAATGAATGGGTCAGTATTGAGGCATTCATTCATGAAATAGTTAAGCTTTTGTAAAAGCGTCTTTCTGTCATTAATGAAAGAATGAAGCCGTAACATGCAAACACCGGATCGCTAAATAGCGATCCGGTATTTGACAGCTGAAGAGAGCAGAGAGGTAGCAGAGTGAGTCCCCTCTCTGCTATTCGTTTTGACAGCTCCATAGACCGGCCTGATGTTTATGATACATTTCAGGCACAGGAATATTACATTACAATGTATCTCGTTGCCTGAAATGTATCAGACTTCTGATCGTCTGGGCAGGATCAAAGACCTTAAAATGCGATCCGATTCTGACATGTTGTCTCTAAGGTTATTATTCGCTGTTCCTAAGTTTGAAGCAGCCTAATAATAGCCAAAAATAAAATAAAAAAGTTAATTTATCAAGCAGTCATGGTGACTGCTTGATATAAACTGACAAAAAATAAAGTGTAAAAAAAAAAATAAAGTGTAAAAAAAAAATTATATATGACTGACGTGGAAGAATCGCACAGCAACAATGCAACAAGCAGGGGCGTAACTAGAAAATCACAGGGCCCCATAGCAAAATTTTGTATGGGGCCCCGTGATTGCTAGTTATGCCACTTGCAGAGCCCACCATAGACTCTCTATGGTGGGCTCTGCAAGGTCTCAGTTGGGCTGCACGCCTCTTACCCGTCAGTGCTGCCCACCTCCGTGGTCGGCGCCGCCGGGTCCCTGCCTCCTCTTCCGTCCCCGGGCTCTGCCTCCTTCTATCGACGGGGCCCCCGCCTCCTCTTACATCACTGGCCCCACCTGCTATTAGACCGCTGGCCAGTGATGTGGGAGGAGGCGGGGTTGCTCTTAGGCGTGCCCCGCCTCCTTCTTTAGCTGCAAACGCCGGCATAACCGGCCTATTCCGCCGCATCTGCTGGCTGTCACTGACACAGCTCCGCAGCGGCTGTGAGGGGGGAACGTTCTCCTTCACAGCTGCTGCTGAGCTGTGTCAGTGACAGCCAGCACCCCGAGACGCCATAGCGACCCAGGCGGCCCACACGGGATCAGAGGGATGCCTGGCCGGGCCCCCCTGTACACGGCCCCATAGCGGCCGCCTGGGTCGCTATGGCGATTGTTACGCCACTGGTAACAAGTGTGTCCGTCATTTATGAACAGAAACTGAAAACCAGCTCAGTCATGAAGGGGTCAAGGTGTATTTATTTCCCATGATCCTCAGCGCCATCTAGTGGCCACAATGCGGTATTTTCCTCATTCACTATGTTCTTTATGGATGAATCTATTCTTACTACAGCCCATAATATGTGAAGTACATTCGACCAGAATTGAAAATAATCAATATATAAAATCGATTTTGCCCCATTCTCACAACAGCAAGTTCATTCGCACACAGGAAGTACCGCCACACACAGGAAGTACCGCCACACACAGGAAGTACTGCAGAAACAGATCTTTTTTTTAATCCATGTGGCTTCTTACCTGTACTGTACCTGTGAGCAGGTTTCCTCCGACAGGTAGCTGTCCTCTATGAGAACATAATTACAGCTGATGCGTTTCCCGCTGCTGTCAATGACGGCCTTACACCTGTGGAGGGAGAATACGCACATCACATACTGCACATCATTTAACTCTAATGTAGACCTGGCTTCTACAAATGTCTCGAAGAGGATCTGCTTGTGTCTCCGATACCAACCAATCAGGTTTTCCTTTCTAGAAAAAAGTAAATCTAAACCAAAA